GTCATTAGTGTCTCCTGCAATGGACTCAAGCTTCACCACCTGCTTAGCATTTGATGTCCCCATAGTACCATAGGGTCCTCCAGGTTGTTAAGCATTGTGAAACAATATGAAATAGCCACTGCAAACCTTCAAACACACTCTTCTTCCACCTGTCTAGTTAATCACTACCACAGAGTCCTACAATTTTGGAGAATAACCCAATGAGTGCTGACAAGGGTAAGGTCAATCTTCTTGGCTACATTATCTGAATAGCTCTACCAGGTCCAGCATTGTATCAGCCCTGAGCCATGAGGACCAACAGACATCTTTTAGCAGGCTTGATCACATCCAGATACTGCACTGACATCACCAAGTACATCACAAACATCTTATCAAGGAAAACTATCTGCCATGGCATAGAACATCTCTTCCACATCAAGTTCATTCTTATTAGAAGGAGCATACACAAAATTAAGAGACATGAAACAAAAAAAGAGCTTGTCTCAATACCATTATAAACTAAACGACTGGAGCTATCTCTACTACAGAAGGCTGCAGTCTACTGAAGATAGCTATGACCAACTCCTGGCAATGGTGATCCGTTGTAGGGGAACTACCCTCACTAATTCCTCTGCTGCTGCCAGGTTTTCTCACCTATGAATGGGCAACCACTACCACCTTCAACCATTTCAGTTTCCTCAATGGTTATTAGCAGACAACCTTGCTAACACAAAGAGCTGAGGATCCATGCCTCTACTTGGATGGTCTGTCTGAGCAGTCACTCCAGAAAGGTGCCATTCTGCTCATGTGAAATGAAAATGCCATGTCAGTGATATGTAAAATTAATTCCTTCAATACCATTGGGAAGGATTATTGCATATACCACATACTGCACACTGCATTTACTGGAAGTTTTGATATATGTGCAATATAAATAAGATCAATGCATCATATTCATATCTTTTCCATTCATCTCTTTTACAGTTTTTGATGCACTGACTGTATACTCAGACAAATAATACTCATAGCAAGGAAAGAAAAATATAATTTATTAAAGAATATTACTATATCAAACATAATATTCACATTAAAATACCAAGTTTAACAAGACAGCACTATGAGTAAGTGACTTGTAACATAAAAAAGAGAATCAAAAATGTGGCAGCATGCATGGTGCACTTTCCTCTTGACATGTAAAAACAAAGAAATTATCCATAAATCCTCCATCATCTTCTGCTCTCTCATTTCTTTGCCTTTTTGCTTGTTTCTTCATTTTCCTCGTCTGATTCGTTACTTCGTTTTTCTGATGACTTGGACTCCTCCTGACCTGGCTTGGCTGTGTCCTCCTAGAACACATATTCAAAATAGTGGGTTTAATAGTGGGAATAGAATCATAAATCATAATCAGAGGAAGGAAAAGAAGATGAAGAAGAAGGAGAGGAGGAGGAGGAACATAGTTTCAAGAATTATCATCAATATATATTCTATCAATCATTTGTGCTCAATCTCTTTCTCCCAAAAATGAGAAAAATCAGCCCATGAAACCAGTGCACATCGTAGTTACACTAAGTGCCATGTCCTTTTTTAAGGATTTACTAGTGAGTGTGATAACTAAAATGAATGTCCAGTTTTCATATGACAATTAGTTTTTAACAATGTGGTTGCCATGCTAATATTACAATTAATAGATTGGAACCACTAGACAGCACACAGAACACATTTTTATGCAAAAAGAATGCCTTACTAAGAACATACAGGAGAGGAAGGGGTACACTTGGTGAGCTAAAGCATCATTAACTAGTATGAGTAAAAAAAAAAGCCATGCTATGACAATAACCAAATGTTTGCGTTATATAATAGTATCACTGCTAATGAACCATATAAAGACCATTGCACAGGCCACAAAAATAATAACACAAGAATGGAGAGATATATAATGAGAGATACCAAGAAGAAAGGTGTGGCTATAATAGTAGTAGTAGTAGTAGTAGTAGTAGTAGTAGTAGTAGTAGTAAGTAGTAAGTAGTAAGTAGTAGTAAGTAGTAGTAGTAGTAGTAGTAGTAGTAGTAGTAGTAGTAGTAGTAGTAGTAGTAGTAGTAGTAGTAGTAAGTAGTAAGTAGTAAGTAGTAAGTAGTAGTAGTAGTAGTAGTAGTAGTAGTAGTAGTAGTAGTAGTAAATAAGTAGTAGTAGTAGTAGTAGTAGTAGTAGTAGTAGTAGTAGTAGTAGTAGTAGTAGTAGTAGTAGTAGTAGTGGTAGTAGTAAGTAGTAAGTAGTAAGTAGTAAGTAGTAGTAGTAGTAAGTAGTAGTAGTAGTAGTAGTAGTAAATAAGTAGTAGTAGTAGTAGTAGTAGTAGTAGTAGTAGTAGTAGTAAATAAGTAGTAGTAGTAGTAGTAGTAGTAGTAGTAGTAGTAGTAGTAGTAGTAGTAAATAAGTAGTAGTAGTAGTAGTAGTAGTAGTAGTAGTAGTAGTAGTAGTAAATAAGTAGTAGTAGTAGTAGTAGTAGTAGTAGTAGTAGTAGTAGTAGTAGTAGTAAATAAGTAGTAGTAGTAGTAAATAAGTAGTAGTAGTAGTAGTAGTAGTAGTAGTAGTAGTAAATAAGTAGTAGTAGTAGTAGTAGTAGTAGTAGTAGTAGTAAATAAGTAGTAGTAGCAGTAAATAAGTAGTAGTAGTAGTAGTAGTAGTAGTAGTAGTAGTAAATAAGTAGTAGTAGTAGTAGTAGTAGTAGTAGTAGTAGTAGTAGTAGTAGTAGTAGTAGTAAATAAGTAGTAGTAGTAGTAAATAAGTAGTAGTAGTAGTAGTAGTAGTAGTAGTAGTAAATAAGTAGTAGTAGTAGTAGTAGTAGTAGTAGTAGTAGTAGTAGTAGTAGTAGTAGTAGTAAATAAGTAGTAGTAGTAGTAGTAGTAGTAGTAGTAGTAGTAGTAGTAGTAGTAGTAGTAGTAGTAGTAGTAGTAAATAAGTAGTAGTAGTAGTAGTAGTAGTAGTAGTAGTAGTAGTAGTAGTAGTAGTAGTAGTAAATAAGTAGTAGTAGTAGTAGTAGTAGTAGTAGTAGTAGTAGTAGTAAATAAGTAGTAGTAGTAGTAGTAGTAGTAGTAGTAGTAGTAGTAGTAGTAGTAGTAGTAGTAGTAGTAAATAAGTAGTAGTAGTAGTAGTAGTAGTAGTAGTAGTAGTAGTAGTAGTAGTAGTAATAAGTAGTAGTAGTAGTAGTAGTAGTAGTAGTAGTAGTAGTAGTAGTAGTAGTAAATAAGTAGTAGTAGTAGTAGTAGTAGTAGTAGTAGTAGTAGTAGTAGTAAATAAGTAGTAGTAGTAGTAGTAGTAGTAGTAGTAGTAGTAGTAGTAAATAAGTAGTAGTAGTAGTAGTAGTAGTAGTAAATAAGTAGTAGTAGTAGTAGTAGTAGTAGTAGTAGTAGTAGTAGTAGTAAATAAGTAGTAGTAGTAGTAGTAGTAGTAGTAGTAGTAGTAGTAGTAGTAGTAAATAAGTAGTAGTAGTAGTAGTAGTAGTAGTAGTAGTAGTAGTAAATAAGTAGTAGTAGTAGTAGTAGTAGTAGTAGTAGTAGTAGTAGTAAATAAGTAGTAGTAGTAGTAGTAGTAGTAGTAGTAGTAGTAGTAGTAGTAGTAGTAGTAGTAGTAGTAAATAAGTAGTAGTAGTAGTAGTAGTAGTAGTAGTAGTAGTAGTAGTAGTAGTAGTAGTAGTAGTAGTAGTAGTAAATAAGTAGTAGTAGTAGTAGTAGTAGTAGTAGTAGTAGTAGTAGTAGTAGTAGTAGTAGTAGTAGTAAATAAGTAGTAGTAGTAGTAGTAGTAGTAGTAGTAGTAAATAAGTAGTAGTAGTAGTAGTAGTAGTAGTAGTAGTAGTAAATAAGTAGTAGTAGTAGTAGTAGTAGTAGTAGTAGTAGTAGTAAATAAGTAGTAGTAGTAGTAGTAGTAGTAGTAGTAGTAGTAGTAGTAGTAGTAGTAGTAGTAGTAGTAGTAGTAAATAAGTAGTAGTAGTAGTAGTAGTAGTAGTAGTAGTAGTAGTAGTAGTAGTAGTAGTAGTAGTAGTAAATAAGTAGTAGTAGTAAATAAGCAGCAGCAGCAGCAGCAGGAAGAGGATTGTAGTAGAATGAAAATAGCAGGAGTAGTAGTACAATAGTAAAAGTAGTAGCAGAATAAGTAAAATAGTAGCAGTAGCAGTAGTAGTAACTGTAGAAATAGCAGCAGCAGCAGTTATTTATTATGTTGCATTTAGCTAATCACCACCAATAAATCGAGGGCATTTTTGCTTAAAAAAATATTAACAGTAGTAGAACTATTGCTGTAATAGAAGTAGCCTAGTAATAGATATAGAAAGAGCACAAGCACTTGTAGTAACACAAGTTATAGTAAAAGCAATATCTATAAGTGTTGATTACTATGTTGAAACTTACCACACTTTTAGCAAATTTAGCAGTCCATTCTTTGGCAGTTGCTTCATATTGAGATTTCTTGAACTGATACTCTTCAGCCTAAGAAACAAAAACAACATTACAGTTCACTAGAACCAAATCTTTACATAATGTGGTATTAAAAATTTACAATCTAACTTCCAGTACTATAGTGTAAACATTTTTTAGACCATATATATATATACATATATATATATCTCAAAATATGGGCGAATTACCACACAAGTATTTGAATAACGGTATATCTTTAACCGCAAAAATCAGAAATACTGGCACCTACAATGTCAGTCATCAGTGGATCATTCGGGTTGGGAGAAGCCATAAGCAGGCGAATTGAGGTCAAGATACTGGAGAGGTTGTGTGCTGGTCTCCATCCACCTGAGGGAGGTAACTTGAGGATGTCAAGGCAGATTCTTCCAGCTGAGTCAATGTTCGGATGGTATATCTTCGTCAGGAAGCGGACTTTTGGGGGATGAAAGGGGTATCTGGAAATTAAGAAGCCTCTGATAATGAATTCCAAGTGGCATATTAAAAGAAATTCTAATAAAAGATTTTCTTGTAATGCAAAGCTCTCCTAAAACATAATTTTTCTATATTCATCTA